TCTCATCCATGCAACTTGTTTAAAGCCTGTATATTAAAGCCTGTATGTTGACCTCTGCACGTGGCTATGCTACAAGTTAATGCAATACCAAGTCACTAATTACCTCATAAGCTTATCTCAGGGTACAAAATCTAACCTGAGTTTTAAATAAATGCTTGAGGCTAGAACCACTAGTTATCCATGAAATATCTGTACTGGTTAAGTATATGAAACATTTTTTAATGGGAGCTCCTTCAAATTGAAAACCGGTTCTGCTGTGGGGGAAAGAAGGCAGTAGTTCAGATGCTGCTGTACTTCTGGAATCCTGGAATGGCCTTGGCAACGCTTCCTCCTTATTATATAGTAGTTTCTACTGAACCTGGGGCAAGATATTTAGGTCAAATCCACATAACTCCTTTCTGAGTCCATAAAGCCTTACATAGTTCAGTGGTTCCTGCAGAGGATTTAGAGAATCCACATTTTCCTTAAATTTCCCCATTTAGCTTCCCATAGGTTAAACGGTCCTGGCAGAATGGAGTCTCCCAAGTGGTTGGAAGTGGCATCATGTCGATGTAGGCAATGGCCTGGGTTTTAGTGGCTGTGATCTCTGACACCTGCAAGAACAGGGTAACAGCACTTCCTTATTCCCRAGAGGTGCACTGACAATTTACACACTGGGAAAAAAATGCCGAGGTGCTCCGAGGGCATCGCGGTGATGAGGGCAAGTGTGATGAGAAAGAGAGAAGCGCAACTCAATTCAATCTGTTGATGTTGGAGTGTTCCAGCTAGCATGGGTCTCGGGTGAATGATGTAGAAAAACCTCTGCTCAGCCTGCGCTGGCTGCCTTTTCAATTTAATCTCCTTCCTTTGGGGTTATTTTCTCTAGTCACTTTTAACAATTTCAGGATTTTAAAAGAAAATTGAAAGAAGGATGATTTTTTTTAAGCTGATTGCATGCATTCTGTAGAAATTGTATTATTTTTTTTACACAATAGTCAACCTTATTTCCCTTATAAAAGACAGAGAAAGCCAGATGCATTCCTTATGTCAGTCACAAAACAGATTGCAAAGCCTTCAAAAAAAAAAAAAAAAAAAAGAAAAATGCCCAAACCATGGTGCAAAACCTGTATTATTCATTAAGTTGCACCTCTGTGGTAGATATTTTACTAAGTTCTTGACAAACATTCTCAAGAAGGCAATTTATGTTGCTGCATATGAAGTTTATGATGTCTTAACAGGGAAGCAGACTTGCTGCTGGTGTGTGTGTGTGAAAGAAAAGGGCATCTTCAATGCATGCTGCAAATTGAAAACCCATTTCGTAGCAAAGCAGCAGTGGAGTGGCCTGCAGAAAGAGCCATTAAATAAAAACTCCTTTTTTGATACTGTTCCTGGGTAAGCCACCTTTACTACTACTGATAGAATTCTTAAAAGAAAACTCTTTCATACATCTAAACTATCATCCAGACAGAGTGTTGAACACTGAGTAGAGACCAAATGCAAAACTAAGCGAGCCTCCTTCTGTCCTTCTCCTGTTTTACCTGCTCCCCTGGATGATTTTGCTGTCACTGTTTGCTGGGGGTTTTTTTGTTTGTTTTTTTTTTTTGTTTTTTTTTTAAAGGCAAGTTTCATGATATCTCAAAAAAAGTAGGACTTAATTCATGCATTTTGGGTTAGAAATGAAAGAGCAGTTGGGCTAAAATTTTTGGAAACCAGCTTTAGTTTCTGCTCTGTGCTTTTTTAATTAGCAGATAACTGTTTCCAATGTAACATCTACTATACTGTATATTAAAATGAGCATTAGGGTGTCTTCTTTTTATTCCCCGCCCCAGAAGAACTTGACAGAGTTTCAGTTTTTTTCTTAGCCCAAATAAGTGGTCACGGAAATTGGTGAGTTTCTATTGAATTAAATGTGAAGCTTCAGAGAAGCATCAGTGTTGTGGGGTATCTGCTCACAGTGCCTCTGTCCTTAGAAGTATCAGAGAATTTACRTATATACTTGCACTTATTCTCAAAGGCATTTAAATGATTATTAATGACTTATTTTTAGATGCTTTTTTAATGAAAAAATGATTGTATTCCCAAGTTAGCCAAGTATAGCAGGATTTTAAGTAAGGAGTTTGTAATCATAGACTGATGGCAATGTTAGCAACTGGCATATGTATTTGCTACAAGATTTTTTTTTGCAAAATCAGTATGGATTTGCTAGATATGCTAGACGTCAAAAATTTCTAAATGCAGTGGTATTAATCTTTTTTCTCGTGAGAAAATTATGCAAACTTTTTTACTTTAGTTTTGACATTGCAGTTGAAATAAAATCTCAATATTTAGTAACATAAGATAGACACAAAGTTAATGATGCATTTGCAATGCAGTTTTCAAAARGAAAAAAAAATACAGAAAAATAGGAAAGAAATCAAGTTTGTGCTTAGAAGCAGCCACATTTCCTGAGATTTCATGTGACAGTGGAAAACAGGATTAAAAGGGAGGTAACTGTGACAGACCTTTGTGCCACTAGTTAGAAATACTRGAAGGTGGTTGTCTAAAAAAAACCAGGAGAGGCCTTTTTTGCTACCTGTATTGCAAGTGGCTCATTGGAGTGATTCCTGAGACTTGCCACTTGCAATGAGAAATGTGTTTTCACACAAAGGATGTTGTAGCTGACTGTGTAAAGCACTGCACAGTGTAGCTTACCTTCAGTGACCTCAGAGAGAGGATCTTGGAGAAAGTACGTTACCAAGTGAAAGATGCTGAAACGATCTGGGGTTGAGTTCAGCACGTGTTATTAAGGCATATAGATTTTCAGTATTTGCAGATGAGCTTTACTGGTGAGGCTGTTTTTCCTGTGTGATCAGAAGTTCTTAAAATCTTTCCATTCATACTGTTCTGTTGATATTTTTGGTCTAGAGCCTAGTCAAATGCAGTTATTTTGGTGAAAAGCTGAATGCAAAAGAGATGATTCCATTCGCTTATTTACTTTGCAGTGAAGGTGCYGCTTTAGTTAATGCCATTTATAGAGCTTTCCCTCGCTTCACTTTAGGATGTGTCCAAGTCTACTCGTATAGTGCAAACACTTTGAAAGGTACCAAAGTGATTCCTCGTATGGAAATGTAGCTCAGTGTGTGTGTCTCATTATGATAGCACACATGGACGTTATGGACGATATCTTACCCTAGTTCAAGTTTATTTTTCCTTTTTGAAGCCATGTTTATTAAACCCTTGCTGAAACATTTGACTATATCGGAATATTTCTCAAGATGTCCCTGACTGTCCCTCCAAGTGGGTCGGCCAGGTGACAGCTGCATGCACTTTCACGGTGCTGGAGATGAGCAGCAGTATTTGGCCGTTGTAGGGTCAGGATAAAAATAATAGCTAGGTGTGAAAGTTTGTGAAAGTACGAACCCATCCGCATCATTATCCTCTGAATAACGAGCACCATAGTCGTGGGAGCTTCATCGGGTACCAGGGACGCAGCGTCTTACAAAGAGTGTTTTGTACATCAGAAGGAGTCTGTGTTGCAATTCTTCTTCACCCTTTGGTCTTATACAGTCAAGAAATCAAAGACACAAAAATGCCTCCAATTAAGTGTYTTGTACTTGGGTGATACTTCATCTGCTACAGGACTCTCAGATGGTTTTCAAGGTTACCAACCTTGTAGGCATCTGCTGCATTTGCTGCTTGTAAAATATAACCTTTCTGAACAACATTACATTGGGGACAAAAATGCCCYGAGAGCTTTTTGGCGTTTTTACCACGTATGAAAAATACTTGCCCAAACTAAAGAGCTGACATTTGGCCTGGCCCCTGACACAGCTGTTAGCATTGGACAAGAGCCCCCTTCCCACCGCGGCAGAGCTGCCTGCCCCAGCAGCCCAGAGGAGCCGCGTTTTTGTCCCTCGGGTCTGGCACGAGCAGTTCGCAGGGCCTGGCCCATCCAGCAGCCGCTGCATATATTTATAACTTGCCTATTTTTTTTTCCAAAATCTGCTTTCTAATCCTGGAATCTGAATAGGTGAGGTGCATTTTCCCCTGAATCATTCGTCTGTTAACCCCAGACTATTTTAAAAGACRACTTTTAGAGCAAGGCTGAGTAGTGGAAACGTTGCAAAGGAGGCAGSTTACTTCTGCTTCTGACATCATTCCCAAAGTCAAGGCACAGCTGCCAAGGTTAGTGAAGGTGCCAGCACCAAGCTGAGCATAKTGTTTGTATGATGTGCAAGAGCTTTGGGAGATGCAGGGCTCTTGTTGCTATCATTTATAATTAAAGCGCCCGTCACTTCTCTCTGCAAAACTGCTTTGGCAAATAAATAATTAAGGGCCTGTTCTGACACACTTAGGTGAATGGAAGATTGCTGTTGGAGAACAGTCCAAATGCAGCAAGGGAGATTTCTCTAAGGTTTGGGGAAAAATAATAGTATTGGATGCACAGTCGAGARCAAACTGTAAGGCAGAGGGTTGCTTGGGTTGTGTGCTTGAAAACTCAACTCCACAGGTATCTAGGATAATTCACTTAAAAGCAATACCTGYCATTGCCCATACAYGCCTAAACATGTTAGCCTTTAAGCAAAGTACACACTTTTGTCTTAAAGTTAGTGACTAGATAAGTGATCTATACCTATATGAATAGCTGAAGATGAATGAGCTGCGAGTTCGATGGTTTTATAAAGCTGTGTGTTAGCTAATGAGTTTATTTTTTGCCAAGTTGATCTGTTTTATAGAAGAATTTTATTTAATTATTTAGCTGAATTGATTTTTTTTTTTAAAAAAAGATTATGCTTCTTTTGATAGTTACTGAAATAATCAAAAAGAGTCAAAAAGAGTCAAGGGGAATTTCCTGAAGTACAAGTGATGTTATGTAGTCCCATGTTATTACCCTCATGATCTTACTTCCATAATAGTTCAAATACTTGGCAATATTGAAGGCCCTTGCAGCGCTGTGGGGAAAATTTCAGATGATTTACTCTCTTAAAATTAACCTTTTACTATCGCATGCGTATGTGTGTCATTTATCCCCTTTTCCTCAGGTGCAAAGAGGGCTACCAAGGAGTCCGCTGTGACCAATTCCTGCCGAAAACAGACTCAATCTTGTCAGATCCAAGTATGTAATTTTTTTTCTATTTTTATCCCATGCAGGAGACCATTCTTGCCATGAGAGATGACCCTTTGCCTGTTGTCAGACACTCTATTATAGACCAATGCAATAGCTTGTCAAAAGGAGTATTTTTCTTGTTGATGCAGCTGCTTTTGCAGATAAAAGAACATACTCTGGCCTCAATTTTTGTAAAATGTGATGGTGGTAAAATATGACATCATAGTCTTGATTTTCATATAATTTGGAAGAATACTGTGCCTAATTAAAGTCCAGATTTTTGTATTCCTATTTTTTTGACTCAAGCACAAATAAAATCTCAGAATCTAAAAGAAAGACAACTCATAAATTGCAAAGAAACTTTCCTTCAAAGAAAACAAATTAATTTGCTGATTCACTGAAGTTGTAGAGATGATAAATCGCTAAGGAAATGTGATCTCTTTTTTATCTTCTTTTTTGTTTTATTCTTTTAGTTTATACAGAATTCAAATTTCTTAACTTTTACACATGAAGCTGCCCCTTACTCCTRGAGTAAAGATTTACTTCCAGTTAGTGGAGAGAAAGTAGCTCTCTATTATGTGGCAGAATTGGGCAAATGCCCAGAATTGGGCAAATGGGCAGAATTGCACATTGCCTGTCCATGTATGTGTTCTGCTCCTGCACTGTCCCACTTTTTAAATTCTGTTGACTGACAAAAATATGTCAAAACTATTAGGCAAATGAATTTCTTGGGAAGAAACCCACTTTTTAACTCCAAATCATTCATCTTAAATTGTTAGATGAAGTGACATACAACGAAGGGTCATGTCCAGTCTCTTATTTGTGTCCTTACACCTGAAAACCATAGTGCATTTGAGTCCACTGGGTTTGGATGCCTTCTCAAAATTGGTTTTGTTTTATTGTTTGTGGGGTTTTTTGTTTGTTTTATTCTGTTTTAAAGGGTAGTGCTTGTTCTTCTCTTCTGTGCTGTCAGTTTTCTGTGCTCCTCTGTGAAACACTGTTTTAAGAGACTGCTGCCAGGCACCTGTTGTCTCGCAGTACTGTGCTGAATAGCTCCTATTAAAAGTTATTTATATTTAGTTTAACTTTTATTTTTGTTTGGCCCTTAACTGTAAACTGTAGAACCTGTAATGAAAATGGACAGTTTCCACCTCTGCCAAGTTGTGYGTGCATGTGAACATGAACGGTACCCTGTGTATGTCGGGGAGACGTGTACTTTGCATCCTGAATGCAGAGAGGAAATCAGGTAGCTGCGTCTTGGGCAGGGTGGTGCTGCCAGGGTTCCGCCTGGGAGCTAMTAGGGAGCTCTTGGAAAGGAGCAACTCCTGTGTTAAGCTGCATCTAACTAGGCTAAGAGCTCAACAATGTTTATGTCCAAGTGTTTGGTTGTTTACTGCCTTATTTCGTTTGCACTGACTTGTTTCTGTTGACGTGGGAGATGCTTGCTCTGGTTGTATTGCTTCCATGCTATTGATCAACCACCCGATCCTCCTCAATAAGCTGAATTTCTGCTGCAGTTTCCTTGTTACACTTTGTGATCATACGATTATATTTGTCAATATGGGTTGCCTTCAGAAACACGTGATTCAGAGTATGTAAGGAGAAGGGGGACCTTTGCCTGATACAGATTTGAGATCCACTAGGCACAGGTCCAGGCCCATAAAGCTTCTCTTCCAAAGCAAGCAAGGAAGGTTAATGTATTTTTCCAGTCAGTTTTGAAAACTAATTTGTATGGAATTTTTATCTGCATCCAGAGTGAAAAAGGCTGCTAGGCTTTGGTGTGTTGGCATGCTGTGATACACGTCCTTCTGTGTGCATGCGTGTGCTCTTGTTCCAAGCCTGACTAGTGTCCAAAGCAGGCATTACTGACTTGCGGTGGCAGTGGACACTGAAACATCACCATTTTGCTTAGAAATTAAATTATTAAACTCTTATTTTTCTCTTAGGAAAAAAAATATGCCATTAACTTTTAGAAATCAATGGCAGTGATATTTGATATGTGCCTAACCTGAAGTATTTAAAGGACGGTTGACGCTGCACTGAAGTGCAGCAGCAGCATCTCTGTGGGTTCTGGTGGTGCTTTGCAAAGACAGAGTTTTGTGGTTACGTTGCTGTGTTTGGATTAGGAGGAGAAGTGTTGAAGGATGCTAGGGGTGAATTTAGAGGCAGCTTCAGAAAGAAGCAGTTTTTCAGATGGAAGATTCAGCTTCTAGAGTAAACTGAACTCCCTTGTGGATGCTGTTGTGTCTGGACTGCGTGGGGGATCAGTTAGGCTGAGAAACAAGCCCAGCTCATGGCRTGTTGTGAGATTGCTTAGGGCTGGGCAGGAGACCGTAAGAGCATGTCATCTTCTGTAAGAGAATGACCCCCCCYGGCCATATAATCTTTATCATTTACTAGAACAGGATTGTGGCTTCATTTGTTTCCTGGAAATGCATCCACTCAAGGAGGAATATGTGCTTATAGTAGAAAGTGTCATACAATATCTGAAAGGTATTTGGAAAGTTGAAATGACACCTCATAAAATCAATGTGTAAAACTATACAAATGTCTATATTGATGGAGCTTTACAGACCTTATTCTAGAAAGGAATTTGTGGTCATGCAGGATAACTTCCTACTGATCACCAGCTAAAGGGCATCGTTCAGGAAGTCCCACAGTAACCTGCGATATCTCATTAAACTGGAACWTTTTTTGGAAAAACCTCTTAAACTTGATGTGACATTCTCGAGTGGTAGCATATTTGGCAGCTAAGTCCTAAAACGAGTACCTTAAAAAAAGAAAAAAAAAAAAGTCTCAGTTTTCACTGTGGTGGAAATGTTATGTTTTGGGTCTGTTGGATTACATTTTTAAATGTCAGAAGTCTTGTTCCCAGGGATTTCCTTGTAGTTTGTGCTTGTGTCATTCGTAACCTGTGCCAGYATGGCACGGCGGAGCAAACTATGAGTCCTGTTGGGTTTTCAATCCCATCAAAGACAAACCTGCAGTGTCATGTCTGGATTTTGAACTTATGCATTCTTAGATTGAGTCTTGATGTAGCAACAGATCTGAGAGTCTCAGCAGACTGGGACTGTAAATGATTAAAACATCTACAGCTCATTTCAGAATGATGGAGTGTTTTGCCAGGAACATTTAGGCACGTTTAGAAAAGCCTCAGTGCTGGGAAGTGCAGCAAGAACAAGGCGATAGAGTAACAACTGTAGTGCAGAGCTGCACCGTTGAGGAAGGGAAGCGTGAATGTGTGCAGACATTCACAGATACCCCGGAGCTGCAGCCCAAGGGAGAGCGACTGGAATCACAAGGTTGCCGCTAACACCACCAGCTCGAGCTCAAAATCACTTCCAGCTTTTATAGCATAACAGTTTCCTAAGACCTTCAAATGCATAGGAAACAGCTTGAATTAATACATCTATGTTTCGGTAGGTCAGCTAATAGTGACGTCTGCAGCCTGGGCATTACGGATGTTATTTAATGTTTTTCTATCACCACTGCAAAATAGGTTAATTTACAAGAATATTGGTGATTTTCCCATTTCTAGCATACAGTAGGAAAACCACCATAAGCTGTGTAAAAGTGTTTTCCAAAGTGCCTTTACATTGAATTGCTTTCATTACTTCAGGGTGCAATAGTAGGACTTTAGAGTACAATACTAGTATTTTTAACCTCTTTTCATCAAATTTCCAATCCTCAAAAAAAAAAAAAAAAAGTTCCCYCCGCCCAGTGCATTTTTTTCTAGACAGCCTGAAGGGGTTTACAAGTGGCTTCTGTTTTTATATTTCAGATATGCATTATTTCAGACTTTATAAAGCTTATATCTTTGTTTATTTAGTTTTAACTAAAATAATACTAAAATAAGAAGTCACACAGGTTTCTTTGCAACAGTAGAAAACTTCAGGCTGAATTTGGCTAAAATTCCTTTAGTAGTTTCAAAGGAACATCACTTTTTTACCTTTTTTTTTTTTTATCTCTTTTGGGAGAGAAGAAAGTATAGGCACCTTGCAACACAACATTGTTTTCAAAATTTTTCAAAAAGATTTTGACCTCAGTATAAATCCTAAGGGAGGAAAAAAATGGAGATATCAATGCAAATCAGCAGGCAGTTTTAATCAGTGTGTCTTCCTTTAAGCTCCAGATGATAGAAAGCAAGAAGAGAGTACAGCCGTGCATGGGACTTTGAAGGCTCCCCTTCCTRTTTGTGCAGTTTAGGAATTGCATCTAGGCAAAGTATTTCTGGGTCCATGTGTAGTGATTTGTGTACGCGTATTTTTAAGCAAATTTACCATATGACGGCCGGAGCAGCAGGCTGCAGCTCGTTAYGCAAGAGCCGTGGCAGATGGCTGGGAATGGAGGTCAGCAGCTTACGCAAGGGCGCGCGTCCCGCCGCGCGCTGCGAGCCGCGTCTCCGGGGCGCAGGTGAGAGGAGCCCAGCTGGACAAGGACCCGCGGACGTGACAAGGTTCTGCACGGTGGAGTTATCCCCTGACGTTCTTGCAGACATTTTAGCATTTCCTAAATCTACTTTTGGCCACACTATGGCTGATAACCTATTGATATAAATATAGTTTGAGGTATATGTCCAGTGACACGCTGGAGCTATTTAATTTATGCTGTTGCTCCAAGTAGCTAACTCTTCTGACTTGCATTTGTTTCGTGCATATGATATTTTACTGTTGATGTCAATCTCTCACTGTCTTGAAAACAGATTTCTCTGATTTTGCCTGGATGGACAAGATGCAGTCGTTCATTTGACTTGTCAGATCCCATTTAAAGGCCTTAAGAGTAATACTCAACACTGCAGAGTAATATTCAGCACTGCAGCATCTGCAGTTCCTGAGACTCTGGGAGAAAAGTGCTTGCAAAGATAGGTTACTGGGAGCTGACGTGTGGGAATATTGCAGGAAACACATTAGCAGTGATTTAACTCAAAAGCATCGTCCTCAGTCATTTCGTCAGCTTCTGTTGTTAGAGATTAGCTACTCGGTTCTCCATACGGCATTGCCATTCCCCCT